CGTGTGTCACTGTGGTCCCTGTGGCACTTGTTGGCGCGGAGTCATCTACGAGGAGCTCTACTGTTACTGCGGCGCCACCTTTCTCCCTTCACTCTTCTTAGATAGATGTAGTTTTTTGAAGCAAATTGTACTGATATGTTTCATCACTAACAAACAGGCCATCTAGTGCTGGTTATCAGGAGAGCAAACTCTCAAAAGTAGGATCGACTTCATGAAAAAAATAAGCGCTCTTGAAACCGACTACGTAACAGCGTAGAAGAAAAATCCTGGTGCAGTTATTTAAAATTAACACATGGCAGGCATTTCATTCTGGTGCTGCGAACTTTGTACCAGAGGAAGCAAGCTTGGCCACCACCACGTCACAAACAGCATATCTGAAAACAGCCACATCTGATTCATTCGCTTTCTTGTTAGTGATGGAAAGAACGAACAGGGACTACCACAATAGAATAGTAACCAAGTTAAAAGATCTGGCAGATAGAAAATGAGTGCCGCCGTGTATCTTGGGGTCAAAGTGTCTTTCACATTCGTGGCATCAGAACTGGAGCCACTAATAAGTGGTGTGGAAAAAATACAAGTGATCGGAGATTCGCGTTTTTTCAAGTAATGGGATAATTTACTGGCAACAATTTTCCACAATCACGTTAAGGGACCAGTGAAATCTATCAAGGTATTAAATGGTTTAAAATAAGATTACTCACCAGTTTGTTTAGAGGAACACGTCCGCATGGACAGGTGAGGCACAGAGAAGGCGACAGAGGGCAGGGTCGGCATTCGCCAGGGTGGCAAGGCATGCTGCACTTGTGATGACCACATGCCAGGGGCCTGTCACAAACCTGTTCGCAGGAGAACACCGTTCCAACATACATAGCCACTAAGGACTCCTCTGACTGTAGCAACTCCATCCTATCCTTCTCATCGTCGTGGAAAAACATCTCAATGTCGCAGGGATCAAGTTCGCCAACAACAGGATCCCCTATGGCTGCAGAGAGGTCGTAGCGTTTGGCCCTTTCACCCCCGCAACGCGTTACCTCATCGACACGACCACAGTAGCAAACTGAAAAAAGCAATCAAAAATTGGCGTTGGGTTAAGTAGATTCATCAGTCCAGGTTATGTCAAAACTACCATAACTCAGACTAGGGTAGAGGTGCTCGTTTTGCGAGAAACCAAACATGGAAAAAAATTTAACTTGGAAAAGGAACGCAAACAATTTATGGTATAAATACAAAATGACGTGAACACGAAGATCAAAAATAATAGCCGCGAATATTTCGACTGTATGTAGAGTAACCGACGGTGAAATCCCATCCAATATAATGTAAGCGGAAATCAACCAAAATCATATAACAATTCTGGTTAAATAAACTGTGCCATGGTAAATGTGGCACCTACGATTGGGTTAACTTTTCACGGGTGTCAGCAAAAACAGCGAGGACAAAGACATAAGTCAAGCACATTCCACCCGTCTCGCTTCTCACGCATTCCTACCGCGAAGCCTTGTTCAATGACCGAAGCACACGTGCATACACAAAGCTTAGAAGTGCGATAACCATGTGCAAAATTACAGTACCCTAAAGTGTAGATACTGACGACGCGAGGATAAGCAAGCGAATTAGTTTGTCTGAGGAAACGAGGGGCAAGCGACGTACTTCGGTTTGAAACCAAGGAGCGGTAAATTTGTTAGTCATAAATATTTTGAATCAGAGTTTCAAATGTACCACATGCAAAGTCATAATGACCGAAACTAGAGATGCAATATGGCGGTTTCATAAACCACAATGACACGCAACAATTTTGGATGTCTATACGAACATTAGGCCAGTTATATAACGAATATTGGTCTCGAGTAACCGTCCTTATAAGTCCGAGTGCTCCATGTGTTAATTTCGGTGCAATTTCAGTGTTGATAGGCTAAATCTTAGATTAAAAATGGCACCATCGATCACTAAACACCTGAAAACAATTTGACTCTGTGAATAAAGATGAGACCTACCAGATTTTATCAGTTTCAAGCAGGGTGGACAATCACCATCGTGACACTGCAGTGGACAAGTGTGGGTACCGAAAGCGCAAAAATCCGCTGCATAAGTGCGTCCACAGGGCGCGCCACATGGTTTTGGCTGTTCGTCACCACAGCGAGCGCTCCTCACTACCCGACCACAAGGGCAGTGGAGTTGCACAACTGCTGTACACGGCGGACAGGGACCGGGATGACAGAGTCTAAAATACGCAATGTGATTGAAAATGAAAAGTTGGGATTATGGAGTGATGCACAGAAATCAAAAATCACTGAAGAAGACGTGACAAGATGATAGAGATAAGGCGATGAAAATTGTTACAGCTGACTAAAATACTTTCATCCAAAAAAGGCAAGCTCAGAAACATGCTAATGAAATCACGATATAACTCTGAAAACTTATTCCAAGATGATCGTGGAGGTAATGACACAAGAATACTGCAAAACCGCAATTCACTTTCACATATTTTATGTGGCAATGGAAGGTACTTGTGCTAAATCATACCCTTGTGTCAACATTTTCGAAAATATTGCAAGAAAAGTGCGTTGTAATGCGACATTTGCACAGTAACTTGGGGTTTTAGAAGTCACATTTCAATAAGTTGTCAGTTATTTCACTAGAACTTCCAAAAATACAATCCATTTTAGTTCGACAGAGGCGATCCTGAGATCTCTAACCACTTAACTTTAGGTGGAGTTGACCCATACTCGGAGGTAACACTACGAACAATAGGAAATCACAGTTGGCGCATCATTCCAATATGACGTCGCGCCTCCTTTATAAACATGCTACTATTAAAAAAAAGTAAAACAAATAGACTGCGATTATCAATAAGGATAATGCGTTTAATCAACCCAAAACATGCTTAAAACATTTTACGAGATAGTAAAGAGGTGAGCGTTTGTGCGAAATTCGGTAGGTGCACAGAATCTACAGATATCTAGGAGCGGAAATACAATCTGAATATGTTTACATACAATACGGTTGTCGGGAGACCGTTTTAGCGATTTATGAAAGAAATAAAGTCAAGGGAATAAAAGAAATCCGGGTTAAAAAGGAATCTTTACTGACAAATTTAAAAAAATAACACGAAATCCGCATTTTTAATTGCATAAAACTCACTCTGTACAGGTGTGAGGGCATGGAGGAGATCTTTTAGTTCTTGAAGTTTCACCAGCAATTTGCTTTGCTTTCGGCTTACCGCAAACCTCATCACACCCGTGGGGAATCGTTGTGCATCCAGGATGATAATCGGGTCGACTAGTTTTACCACAGAAACAGTAGTAAACAAGGGGTCTTGTAGCAGCCGAATGCGATTTTTGGCAGGCTGGGCAACGCCATGAGTTTCGGGATTCCTGTGTTCCAGAAGATGTGGGTTCATCGTTTTTTCGCAGCTTCGTAGAAAGCGCCCAATCAGTCATGCAACTTAGATGAAAAACGCGAAAACAACCATCGCACGACCAAGTGGGATCCCTCGGCTCCACATAGCATAAGCAAATAAGACACGAATACAAACCTGACCTAAGTTTCGCAATCAACCGATCTAAAATGCCATGTATTAAGTAAACATATACGAATATATCCCAACAACACATGATTACCAACTAACCTCTAAGTGTCAAATCCGTCATCGAATCAGTAACATCGTCTACGAGAGCAGCATTATCCAAACACTCGTCTTTTAAATCGTTAATAGGTCCCACTTTAGCTCCGACTTCCTGATCGAATTGTACGTCCGAAAAGCAGCCTTGCTGACCACGTTGATAGACACCACGCCGGCCAGCGCGTCCACGTTCACAAGCAGCTCCTTCCGGTACGCGAAATCTCGTTTGCTCACGTTGCGAAACTCGATCATTGCCTGTTTGACGAACATTCACTCCTCTCCTGCGTCTGGGGTAACTTTTTTGGGATGGATTTATGTTTCTTTCAGGAGAGAGACTCTGGTTACCTTGAGGGAGATCTGATAAATCCTTACACTCCATTAAAAAGGGTGCCGAAATTTAAAGAGGGCGCCAAGGACAACAGCCACCGGTAATTTGCTAAAAAATAATTCGTGTGGCGGATCATCCAAAAAACGCTTTAATTCATGGTTTGCAAACGGTGGTAGAAAAAAAGCGTTAAATTGTGAGTCCAAATTTTCCAAACAAGAAATACAATGGGTAGCCAAAGATTCTCACTACCACCCAATTAATATTTTTAAACATAAGCACTACTATAGACCATTGGGCAAAAATCCGTCAGTTAAAGTAAGTTCAAAATTAGCCTACGAAACAAAAATCTGACTGGCACAACTTTTGTCTTGCATTTTGTCTTTAATAAAAAAAAACCTTCGTTATTAAAACCACACTTCATATTTTTTTTATCGATCGGTGCATATGGTAAAGCCATTAACTACCAAGAGATTAACACATAATTATTTGCTTAGAGCTTCAATAATTTCGTGGCAAAATGCAGTAATCTTCCATTGATAAAACGTTTTATTAAATGGACACACTTAGAAGGCAGGCAAAAAGAGAAATACCACTAGTATTGGCATAAAAACAGTTAACTTATTTATGTCCGTAAATTGTGACATTTTAATTGAATTACAATTTATCTAATTGTGAATTAGGAAACACATGATTTGAGGATTTAAGGAAAACGAAGGTTGAAAATCTCAGTGCACAAAAAATGAACTTGAATCGGATTTTAGGAGAATCCATCTGTCCCTGCCTCAGACAGTAAAAGTGTTGGACTTCAACGAGAAATGCATCTGCCTGTTAAGCCATTTAGATGGATCCTGTATTGGTTCGAAGCTTATGCTTGAAGGAATCCACTCTGACGAATTATTAACTAAATAATAGTTTCCAACAGGAAGACGGTGACCTACGTATATATATATATTTGTGACAGTCCACCGTTTCTTGGACCTTATTCTCATTACATATTTTATGTTTTCAGCCCAAATTTTTCGATCTAACACAGGTTTCAACAATCATATGCAAAATACACCCTCGATTAACCGCATTCAGATGTGTGAAAGCAGTGCACACTGCAAATTCCTTCAAGGCTACCAAAGACTTCCCAATCAACCTAACAAAAAATCCACAGCGAAATACCTTGAGGCCAAATTCGTCATTGCACATGCGTGAATGGAATATTCGACATCACTACTCGAGACAAATCCAGTTATTTTGGCCTCATTAATACACGTTTTCAATGTCAAGATAATCTGCTCGTTTAGGTTACAATAGCCACAAGGCTTACACACTAATCAATGGCTGTGGGTTACTTCCCCACATATTTGATTACTGACTTCTTTAAAATGCACGAACGCTATTACAGAGAAAATCGACACAAGCAAACAGATGATTTGACCAGATATAGCAAAAGGTGTGGCATTACAGACGAGATTGGGAGGAAGTAAGAGGGAACAATGGAACGGAGAGGGTCGTGTGCGCCGCCGGAGTTGTAAGTGCTAACCTAACTCTAAGTCACTTTACATGAATCGAAAATCAAAAGAGGCGGTTCAAATGATTGACTAAATATTCAGCTGATTTTGTGTAGCATGTGCATTTATCCATCTGTCATGTTCTATGGCCAGCATCAAGCAGTCGTGAGCATACACGATTCAGTTGATTTTCGTAAACGCACTAAACGCAACCACGTGCATTCAGAGATCGATGCTTAGCGAAGCTAAATAAGCGCGCTTGTTATCCTGTACAAGAACACACTGCCACTGCATCAACAAATGTGTTGAGCTGCGCGCCATCTGCGTTTTATCACTCTTCTTTCAGTCGGGCCGTGTCAACGTAGATTGTCGGCCCTGGTGTCGTATCCAAAACCGTACTGGGGCCCGTTACAGGATAAAAATTCAAACTAAGAATTATAACCAAATAACGATATTCAAAAGCAACAGTGAAACACAGCAAAATATGCCCAAGAACTTATGGAGATTTAACCATCTTGAGTTATTTGACAATACTTCTAACCTAAATTAGCAGATTTCAAAAGAGCCTGGCGTCCTTAAACTAATGCCTTGCGCAAACACATCTTGCTATCCACCAAAAGTGCATTAAACCGTTGCCTTGCAAGCGACACTGGTTCAAACGGCATCAAGTAGAAGAAGACACGCAGTTTCCGATAGCATTTGTTATTGGTGCAAAATTGAAATTTGAAGTTCTAAGGCTTCTCGCACTGCCAGATTCAGAGTCCAGGGCATTC